AAAGAGTGACATGACGCTGGTGCTCACATAGTTGTGCCCTGCTGTGAGGAGGAGATGACTCACTAGGCCCCACCCTGACTTGGATGAAACAGCCCTTCCACGTCTGCCTCCCTTGGCTTTTGGGATACACAAACCAACAAGCCTGCTGGTGACTGAGTGCACTGGGAAGAAGGCACTGGAAGGACTGGTACCAACTGTCAATGAATGCATGGGATGGGAGATACACTTCGGCCTCCCAAGAGCTAGATTGCAGGGAGTTAGGCTTCTCCAGGCAGATCAGCCCCTAGGACGCTGACTTGGCTGTAAACCAGCTTTCGCTCTGATAAATTCACCAAGGAATAGTTACCCTGGTTGGCTTGTTTGGGAACCAGTCAAATGACGCTGGCACAGAGCAAGACCTTCTGACTCAGCTAGTTTGATCCCAGAGCACAGGGCTGTTATTATGACGGCAAGGCGTGATTATGCTGTCCTTAACCCCAGTGTCATTCCTGGTCCGACTTCTTGACCTAACAAGTACTTGTAACATCTGACATTTTCTGCTTCTGACTCAGAGCCTTTCAAGTCCTGGTTACCAGGTCAGTAGGGCAGTGGGATTAGCGTTCTCCTTGGGCTAAAGACAAATAAATAAGCACATCGGGGAAAGGTGAGGATAGGGCATGCGGGGAGCACTGAAATACCTCCCATGCCCCGTTGACAGCAAGTCCTCTCTTTTCCTTTGGGTGCCCCGTCTTACTTCATAGCCAAGTGCAAGCGCATGCTTCCTGCAGTGAGCCTGTATGCAAGGTACAGCTCTGTGTCTTCCTAGGAAGTCCTTTCTCTGCCTCTTAGGTTTCTGTCATCTGTTAAGTAGGGTTGATCAACACATCTGCTTTTTTTTTTGGAGAGGTTTTTGCTATAGGGCGCATGCGCTCGCCAGACAGACAGAGAGACAGAGAGAAAGCGAGAAATCACCCCCAGGGGGAGATGGCCACGCCGCAATCCCTTCTCCTCCATTCTCCTCTCGGGATCTTGGGCACGCACGCACACGCACCCGGCGTGAGTTTTAAGCCACCGGGTCCGGGACACGAACTGCAGTCGACTACATGGGAGTCCAGCGACATAACCATTATGCTAACAGCTGGTTCCCAACACATCTGCTTTTTGAAATCATGAGGATTAAATGAGGGGAATGCCTGGCAGATAGGAAGCCCGGTTCACGTTACAGATGATGATGGTGGTGGCGTACGTCCTGTTTTGTAATTGTACTGAGGGGGGGAAGATGAGGGGAAGCTGCTGGTGACCACCTTTTTTGTTTTATTTAATTTTTTAGATTCTTGCCATAAGGTGTATGAACTTGCCAGAGAGAGACAGAGAGGGAAAGTAAGAAATCACCTCCCCAGTGGAAATGGCCATGCCTAAGTCACTTCTTCATTTGCTCTTGGGACCTTGGGCATGTATGCATGCACCCGGCATCATGCTACTGGGTCTGGGACTTAAACCATGAGGTTGGCCATGTGTAATTCCGTGCCTTAACCACCACACACCTGCTGGCCTCTAGGGACCACCTTTTTCTCTTTCTATTCCCACCTCTTGTTCATTACTGGGTCCTCAATGCCTTCTGAGTGACTGCCATATAGTAGGCTGCCATTAAGCATTTGTTGGCAATTTTTAAAGAATGAATTAAAGTTTCATGCTTTGCATTTGAAGTCACTAAATATGAAATAGCTTGGTATTTTGGGTTCTTCTCAAATATTCTGTTTATAGGGACCAGCAGATGGTATAATGGTTATGTCACTTGGCTTCCACATGGCCGACTGCAGCTCGGGACCCAGACCCGGTGGATTGAAACTCACATGGAGCATATATGCCCAAAATCCCAAGAAGAGATTTGTCTCACATGTGCCCTATAGTAAAAAACACTCTCTTAAAAAAAACAGTAATAATAATATTCTGATTATATGTAGTTTATACTCCTTGTACTAAACCAACTAGTAGCCTAAAATGGCTGTATCAAAACTGGCCTGGGGGGAACCAGCAGTTAGCGTAATGGCTATGTCGCTGGACTCCCACGTAGTCGACTACGGTTCAAGTCCCGGACCCAGTGGCTTAAAACTGACGCCGGGCGTGTGTGCGTGCATGCTCAAGATCCCGAGAGGAGAATGGAGGAGAAGGGATTGTGGCGTGACCATCCCCCCTGGGGGGTGATTTCTCACTTTCTGTCTCTATGTCTCTCTCTGTCTGTCTGGCAAGTGCATGCGCCCTATAGCGAAAACCTCTCAAAAAAAAAAAAAACAAACAAACAAACAAAACTGGCCTGGACTCCGGGGCAGAAGTTTGAGGGAGTATGGGTAGCCTCAGAAAATCATTGATTATCCGCCTGTTGATGATTACATAGAAGAAGAAGAATTTTTTTTGAGAGAGATTTTCGCTATAGGGCACGTGCGCTCGCCAGACAGACAGACAGAGACAGAGAGACAGAAAGCGAGAAATTACCCCCC